ATTCCGTTAGAGAAGAAATCTAGGGAAAATACTGCATTTACTGTACCGGGTCGACCACTATATCATTTTACAGTCATGCCTTTCGGACTTTGCAACGCGGTACAAAGAATGTGTCGTCTAATGGACAAGGTTATACCCGCTTCATTACGTGAATGTGTGTTTGTTTATTTGGATGATTTGTTAGTGTGTTCAGAAGATTTTTTGTCTCATGTATGTTTATTAGAAAAGGTCGCTCGGTGTTTGCGTGAGGCTAAATTGACAATTAACGTAGAAAAAAGCAAGTTTTGCTACAAGGAGGTGCGCTAACTCGGCTACGTAGTTGGGGACGGATGCATCAGGACGGACGCCAACAAGGTGGCAGCTGTGAGGGACTTTCCCGAACCTAAAGCCCCAAAACAACTACGGTGGTTTCTGGGCATGTCGGGATGGTACCGAAGTTTCATCCAGGACTATGCGACCATTGCAGCGCCGCTGCACGACTGCCTCTCCAAAGACAAGATAAAAAAATTAAATATGACTGACGACGCTAGGAGATCCTTTGATCGACTGAAACATCTCGGCGCCCGTGCTGACGCATCCGGACTTTAACAGACATTTCTATATTCAATGCGACGCATCAACTGACGGAGTGGGTGGGGTATTGTTTCAATTGGACGATGACAATAACGAACGACCAATCGCCTACGTTTCAGCTAAACTTAATAAAGCCCAGAAAATTACACCATAACTGAACTCGAATGTTACGCTGCTGTTCTGAGCATAAAAAGATTCAGACCATATGTGGAAGGACTCCCATTCACTATAATAACGGATCACGCCAGCTTAAAATGGCTCATGAATGAAAAAGATATGGCTGGCAGGTTGGCTAGATGGAGCTTAAAACTTCAAGGATATAACTTTGATATACAATACCGAAAGGGAGCGCAAAATGTCGTACCGGATACTTTATCGCGGATGAATATGGGTGAGCTAACACTTAATGAAAGAATTGTTGATATTTCCTTGGAGTCACCCTGTTTCGAGACTGAAGAATACCTCGAACTGAAAAAGACTGTCAGAGAAAATCAGGAGAGACTTCCGGACCTTTGTATTTCGGACGGCTACGTTTACCGACGAACACAGTTCGACAAGGGGGACAGGCTTCAAGCGGACCATGCCTAGAAGCTCTGGGTTCCGTCGGAGTTACGACCGGGGCTGGTAGAGTCTTCTCACAGCTCGCCTTCCGCAGGTCATGGTGGCATCCATAAAACTCTGGCACGACTACGTGAGAAGTATTACTGGCCAGGGATGGTAGCTGATGTTTGTA